CAGACTGAAATCTTCCAGTTTTGTTCCATAGGTTTGAAAATGTTAGCGACAACGGGAATCTGATGTCATTATTCATCGACAGTAAACCTTTTACATGTGCGATCACATTAACCGCTATGCGTTACTGGCGGCGGTTAAACAAAATAGGGGATTGAGACCAAACAGGTCAAAGATCCCATTTAGGACCCATACCTCGCAGTGAGTAGATTATGTTATCTCTGGACTTGAGTGTTTTCCAGGTACTGTGAGTTCTCTGACTACTAGGCAAATGTCCATCTGTCATAGACAGCTACTCCTTGTCCTTCCCTAGGAAGTCATTTAAAAATTGAGCTTTTCTTCTCAGATGAAGGCTGCTGTGACTCTAATAGTCTCGTTCATTTCCGCAACCCAGTGGATTAGAGGTGGTTATGCATAGGGCGAGTTTGGTATATTTTGGTAGCGCAGCTCTACTTCCGCATATCGTTCATGCGCTTCTGCTCATTATTTTACTCGTAGGCCGTGATTTAGTGCAAATGATACCAGTATCGCTTATGGTGGTATACAAGAACCTTTACATCTACGGATTTTATTTTTCTGTGGCGCTGGTATAACAGATGGGCTTCATTGTCATTTATTGGCATATACAGATCTGCAAGATCAGACATCGTATACTGCTTAGTCGAAACCAATACTGATGATAAATACGAATGAAAACCGTATTAATATAACGCGAAGCATTTTTCAGTGACAAAAGTTTAACGAACTTTGCCAAGTTGGAGTCGAATTAGCTCTTACCTCTCGCCAAGACAGATTGGTCATGAAATTTGTTAAGGAAAGAGAAGCGATTGTTGGTGTTGAAGTCCGGCTCAAGGAAAGCGACAGGAAAACAGCTGGCAAAGGCTCTCAAACACTGACCGATGGCCGAACGATGCCTAAAAGGTGTAGTCTTACAATGTAAATTCTTTGCAGGAGCATTTGCACGAAATTATGACTTACTTTTCGATTTCATATTTTATGGACTTTCGGTCTTGCACCGCTGTGGTGGACAGCGACAGAGCGTACAAGCTGTCGACGATCTTATACGTCGCAATTTGGATCTCGTCTACTGAAATGACACACAGGATAAACGAAGGACGTAAAGCTGGTCGATCTCAAGATGGAACTTAAATTTGTTCGACCACTTACTGAGCAGATCCTGGCCAGCGTTAGTGGAGTTTAGGTGAGCGAACAGCGCTGTCAGCAACGGCAGCAACACCTGACAGACGTAGGTGAGACTGGACCACGATTTCAGCGTCTTTCCTCGCAATGACACGTAACAACCCTGGTTGCGGATGTCTCGCACGGCTAGGATTAAGTCGTCGGCCGCGCCATTGAAGAAGATCAAAAGCGACGTTCGAACCGTGTCCGAGTTGATTTTAACAAGTGTTCTAAACACAAGCATGACCGTAAACAAAAGGTGCAAGGAAACGACGAATGGCAGACATACCTCACGTCAATGTTCCTCACCAGTACCTGCAGGCAGCGTACCGATGTGTGGGATTCACATCCGAATGCATTCAGTTTACGTCGTAGAAGCATGGCAAGTCTCGCAAATAGCCTATAACAACTTTTTAATTCATTCCGAAGCTGTAAAAACTGGTGTTTGTGTGTGAGGGGGGGCACGGTGTATTACTAATCTTCAGCTTCAAAATTCTGCGGGGGTTTCAATGTGAAACAAAAGTAAAAAATACAAGGAAAATTCAAATATTGTCGAGCGACTGAAAGTGGCAGCTACCATGCAGTCTACTGAACCAAATAAGCTGCTGTTAATTTGCTCCACCGCTACCGCTTTGATCCGACTTTTCTGAACCCACTTTTAAAGCATTGTATCTGCTTAAGCCGATCAAACCTTGTCTGACTGAAATGAAAAGACAAACTCTCATTCAGAAAGTTTTTTTCTTTCAACTCAGCGTATTTGGTCTCTCTGCATGAGAATAAAGTTTGAAGAGAAATCATCAAAAATGCAATATACCCTGCCACCATTTCTTTCTCTTTGTTCGTTGCTCCAGCGGATCCAGTGCCTGACGCGAGGAAGTATCCACTGTGTGACCGGAAGTAGGCAACGAGCAGCGGCAGCAGAATCTAAGATTCGCACACGGATATAAAATTCAGCGAATAACCATGTCTTCTTCTTCTTCATACCTTGCTGAAAAACTTTACATCGTGCGAGGTGTCCACATAATCGCTTCGACGGCAGAACGCTTTGCTAGGCTTCACGGGCTGCACTTTCAGGGCCACGTTGTCCATGTAGGTTAGAAATTTTTCGAGTAGGTTGCATGCAAAGCGTTTTTCCATTGACGAATGGTCTTCGCTATTGGTAGAATGCTCGTCGCGTCTGTTTTCAACGCTAAACGCATGTAAAGGCGGTCAAACGTTGAAAGTTATCCATGGTGGCAAACTCTGAACAACTGTTTTGGACTAGATTCTGGTAAGCCTGAGAAAGATCCATTTCTGCACTGCTTGTTTTGCTATTTCGCATTTGTTCGTCTGTTATTTCCAGGTTGTGGCAACTTGTCGTGTGCTTTAACGTTCGCTTCAATAAATCTGACTGACTAACTGAAGGGTAACAATCGTCGCGTTCCTATTAACAATTTATGAACACTAAGTTTTACATTCGTAGTTATTCTTCCCTGCTATTTGATTCATGGGAAAGAACATTATCGAACTGATCAGTCGGAAATCTGGTACTTTTGTCTACGCACTGAAATCTTCACACAGAAAACCATAAGAGAATTTAAAATATAGAGTAACCGATTGTCTTCGTTCCTGCCAACATCATTCGAGTACAGTCGTTATCCATATTATTGGTTTCATCAGTAACATAATGATATCAGCGTTGTCATTACATTCGTCATCATTGCGGTCATCATCATCACCGCCAACACAAAAATCACGATAAACCAAGCCTTCATTACTACTCCAATCTTCCTCATCATCCACTAGCTCCTCACTCTTATCATCAACAGCACTATCAGGATCATTGTCATAATTATCAGTACCATGATCTACAGGGAAGCCATTATCACAGTGATGATCACGATCACTGTCTTCACCATAATCATCGTTAAAATCATAAGTATAAGAGTTTTCATGGTTAGCGGATGACCTCGTCTTCATAAATAAGCGCCACCATTATATTCGTAATTTTGAGCGTAATAAATTATTCACTTTATAAATGGAATTAATAGAAACATACCCCACTACTCTGTAGCCATTATAGTGCAGAAACTTCAGAATTTCCAAAGCTCGAAATCGATACTTTCGTCGTTCGAAGTCCGTTAACAGATCCCAAGGCACAAGGGTAGCCATTACGCCACTGTCTAAATTCAGTACTTCAAAGCGTAAGACGGGATTACAAAACAGCTCGTAATTTCACTTCGAAATTGTGAATTTTTGGAGTACAGAGAACGTATTATTTCGGCTTATTCACAATGAACGAATACAAAA